CGCTGCTGCGTCGGCGGCCCAAGGCGGGGAGACTCTGAGGTTCGGCCCCTAAGCCGACCGACTCGGCGCGTCACCGGCCCCGCCTTTGCCCCGCCCCCAGACCGCCTCCGGGACAACCTCCCACCCCGCCCCCCGCCGTCACCCGGCCGGGTCTAACCCACAGCGAAAGATCACGGCGAGTGGCGCCAGCTGTGGTTGTTTGTGACTCGGGGAGGAGCTGGAGAACAGACGGAATTTTCAGAATACTCTTGATTAACATATTGTTTTGCATAAGATTCTATTACAAACTTGAAAACCTGGATCCCCACTGTAAATGGAATTAACAGCATAGTTTACTACCACATTCTGGGTTGGTGACATCGCAAGATTTTGAGCAAATAATAGACTCAGGGACAAATATACTTATTAGACAGTGGTCTCATTCTAGCTTTACCTGGCGCTTTTCTTGATTCTTCTTTTCTCTGCTGTTTGACCCAGGTCAGGAAGTTCAAGCTATGAAGAGATTGGGAAGAGAGAAGAGAAGAGTAAAGACAGGGAAGGAATTCAGGGAGAAAAAAATAGAAAGGCAAGACCTATGTGGGACGCAGAAATGGTTTATTGCCTGTCGAAAATAGCGTGTATAGTATTCTCAACCAGACTGGTCTGAGGTGTGTTTCATGTTGGGTAAATCCTCTTTACAAGTCAAAGGATGCATAGCAATCGAATGTTTAAAAATAATTAATTAAATAATAAGGAAAAAAAGAGAGATGGGGGAGAATCCATTTTTATATAAAAGTAATGCATTAACAAACATTTCCTTTGGCCCCTACTATGTGCAAGGCATATGTGCTCCATGAGGGAGGATGCGCACAAATAAAAAGTGCAGGGTCATGTCTGGTTGAACCCTGCAAATGCTGTATTTTGCTTGGCTGGATGTTTCCATCTTCTTACTTTTCAAGCCTCTTAGTGAAATATAATGTTCTGAAATTCTACAATACCTTCAGAATTAGTCAGTCACGTGCTTCTGTAACAGAGATACACGGTGTTCCAGGTCTTTCCTCTCATCCTTCTCACAAGGAGGGGCACTAACGGGGTGGGAGGGGTATTGGATGTCACCCAGATTTTTTAGTTATTCACCAATAAATGCACTGCTTTATGGATATTTTAATTCTCTTTCCTATTGAACACCAGAGATCAGAATCAGGAGAGGAAAAGATTCATTAATTGCATGCAAAGCCATTCCTGTATTTTTAATTTCATGTTACTGTGCATTCAGGCTCTTTGTTTAAATTAAACAAAAGAATGTACAGGCTTTTCCAGTATTATTTATTTTATACATAATCCCCTATAGCTTTCATTCATTTTTGCTTTCATTCTCCTTCCAATTGCCTTCTCTTCTCTGCCTCTGAGGGGGAGAAATGGAAAGAAATCTATGCCAAAAAAAGAGAAGGGTGATACATGATGGACAGAAACAGAGGCAGGTGGTGGAGCAAGAACTTAGAAGAGGTTTAGGAGGGCAGTCAATGATGGTGTTTAAAAAGCAGGGGTGAGGGACCAGCAGTTAGTGTAATGGCTATGTCGCTGGACTCCCACGTAGTCAACCACGGTTCGCGTCCCGGACCCAGTGGCTTAAACTCATGCCGGGCGCATGTGCGTGCATGCCCAAGACCCCAAGAGAATAGAGAAAGGATTGTGGTGTGGCCATCCCCCCGGGGGGGTGATTTCTCGCTTTCTGTCTCTCTGTCTCTCTCTGTCTGTCTGGCGAGCACACACACCCTATAGCCCTATAGCAAAAACCTCTCCAAAAAATAAAAAGTTAGGGTGAAACCCCTAATTATTTTCAGAGGGGATTCTTTGCCAAGTTCTTTGATTAGTGGCACCACTAGTATGACCTTTCAGCTGAAAGTATCCCTCCTTGGGGTAAATGCTTGAACTGTCCAGTGCTCCAGGAGCTCCCATCTGAATTCCCACAGCAGCTACACAGAGACAAGAGGCCGTTATCATTAGAACCCCATACCTAGCACATAGTAGGTGCCTAAGAGTTACTGGAAGGGCCAGCAGGTGGTATGGAGGTTAAGGTGTTGGATTCCACTTGGCAGCTTCATGGTTCAAGCCAGGCACATGTGCGAGCATGCTCAAAGTCCCAAGGAAGAGTGCAGTATGGCCACCACGGTGAATAATTTCTCTCTTTTTCCTTCTCTCTGGTGAGCGCATTTACCTTATAACAAACAAACAAAATTGTTACTGGGAACCCACTGTCTGACGACTCCACATGGGATTAGGCATGTCTGGGCTTATTAGAGACTATGGAAAGGGTTTAATGGTAAGAGAGATTGGGGAACCTCCTCAAAGATAATTCACTGGAAGAGAGCATCGGGCAGGTTAGCTTGGCCCAGAGTCAAACCTGGAGAGAAGTGGAGGCAGTTAGGCATTGTAGGCGGCATTTGTCTGAAGTCTGTTATTGTGTTGTACCTAACTGAGGTTCATTCTGCTTACTGTTCTGGTGGCTGGAAAGTTCAAAGGCATCAGGCTGGCCTATATCACAACACAGTCAAAATAAGCAGGGAGATGGTAGATGCTGCAGAGAAACCTGGGAGCGGCCATCTTCCTTTCTCTAACAATCTGCTCTTGTGGGAACTCAGTTCCCTTCTCACCAGAGCTAGAACTCAGTCTTACAAGAGAGCATTAATCCATTTATGAAGGTGATACCTCCATGATCCACTAAGCCTCACTTCTTAAAGGTTTTACCACCTCCCAAAACCATTACAATGGAAACCCAATCCTAAAACATGAACCTCTAGGTGACAGACCATCATCCAAACCATAGCAGTCTTCAGTCAGGGGGTGTTTAAGTCCCAGGAGCAGGAGACCTAAAGTGAAAGCTTTGCGCAAGGAGTGAAATGGAGTTGCAACACCCACAAGGAGGAAGGCCCTTCTCCCTACTTCTGTTTGAACCCTGCATATCCAGGAATCACTTTGGCCTCTCCAGTGAACACCTCCAGGGACATTATGAATAGCAGGGTGACCAGAGACACCACGGGTAACAGGGTGACCAGGAGAAGCCTGACCTGAGGCAGCCTGAAGGTGGGCCCTGCTAGGCAGCAACTTGCAGTTTGGGCAGCTATAGCGACCATGTGAATCTCAGAAGTATTAGGTATCCTGAAGAGGGGCAGACCAAAAAGGGAGAAAATGACAGAACAGCCTTGGTAGCTGGTCCAAATGTTTCTAGCTGAATTCTTTGTAGATATGTCTGATATTCTTAGGAATAATAAGAAGGGAATTTACAGAGGACTGGAAACCTGTAGTAACTAGTGGAAAGCAGTCAGTAAAATACAGAAAATTATATACTCACCTCCCAGAAGGAACATGACTCAGGATTTAAAATCCCAGGACTTCGTAAATTGGACTTACTACTCATATAATATTTCAATAATTTCAGAGAGAAATGATAACTACTCTAGTTATAACTACAGAAATAGTCTAAGCAAGTTCTATTGTATGTTCTGAATCACTGTGGTTACAAAGCAGGGGTGGGCAGCTGGGAGAAAAGTTCAATCCCTCATGCCATCCCTTCTTGTTAGTCAACAGAGAGCCTCCCAATCAGTTCAGGGCTGCCAACACTGCATCTGGCAGAGAAGCCACAGATATCATGACTGGCAAAAATCAGAGGGAGTGATTACATGGAGGGGCACAGACAGGCTGGAGCCAGGGATGGCCTCTGAGTCTAAGCAGCAGAATGGCAAATCTCAAGTTAACTGTTGTAGTACATTTGTTTTAGTTATTTATGCACTAATTTGTGTTATTATAATAATGAATATTGAAATGGCTTTTCATATTAATAACTAAAACAAGTCAATTTCCCTGTAATTTAATTAGAATAAAATTGTCTTCCGGTGTGCTTCTACAGTATAGACGCAGTCTTTTTCAAGTATGTGGAGGAAAGATGGAGAAAAACAAGATGCTAATTTTTTTTTTTAACCTTGTCATTTGAACCATAAAGAATCTTAGTGGTCATCTAACCCAACTTCATCTCCTTTCAGATGAGAAAACCAAGGCCCAGTGGGGCTGGGCACTGGTGACTCTCCTACATAAGGAAAGTCTAGTGAGTGGAAGAAGCCTGGAATTCTGCTTTCTCCACTATAGAGAAACAGAGAGTACACTTACACTTCTGTTATGTAGTATATATCTTTCTTAATGAGGTGAAACTCACAAAATCTAAAACTAACATTTTAATGTGAATAATTTGGTGGCATTTAGTGCGTTCACAAAGTTGTACAATGGGAACTGCACAAGGACTAAAGAAAACTCTATACTCATTAAGCCATGATCCTCCATTTCCATCTACCTCTAGTTCGGGATTTACCTATTCTGGACATTTCCTATCAGTAGAATCATATGATATATGACCTTCTGTGACTGATTTCTTTTACTTAGCATAATGTTTTTCAGGCTCATTCTCATTGTACCATGTATCAGCACTTCATTTCCTTGTATGACTATACCAGCATACATTTCCTTGTATGACTATACCACAATTTGTTTAGCCACTTATAAGCTGATGGACATTTGTGTTTTTCTACACTTCATTTTTTATGGCTGAATAATATTTCCTTGTATGACTATACCACAATTTGTTTAGCCACTTATAAGCTGATGGACATTTGTGTTTTTCTACCTTTTGGTTGTGAATAGAGCTGCTATGAACACGTGCATGCATTTGACCCATATTTTTTTTTGAGAAGTTTTTGTTATAAGCTGTGTATGCTCGCCATAAAGAGAGAGACAGAGAGACAGAAAGCGAGAAAGCACCCCCCAGGGGGCATGGCCATGCCACAATCCCTTCTCCATTCTCCTCTTGGGATCTTGGGCACACATGCATACGTGCCCGACATGAGTTTAAGCCACAGGTCCGGGATTCAAACCACGATCAACTACATGGGAGTCCAGCG